CGACTCTGGGCCCCGCGATGCAGGCGCTGCTCCACTTTCAAGCCGAATCCAGCCGGTCAAACGGCTCTTGGAAGCTTCCGTGGTCCGACCGACAATTCGAGCCAGCGCCTGCGCTGCCAGCCAGCCCCCCGCGCGCCGCCTGCTTTCGGCCTCGGCGGGCAAGCTTGTGTGCGGGCCTCCGCTGCCTCGAGGCTGCCTCGCAGTGACTCCGCGATTCACGTCCGCGTTTGGCCCAAGTTGGCCGCGAACCGGATGCCCGAGCGTGGACGAGGCCGGTTGCACCAGCGCTGCCCTCGTCCTTTCAGCGGGTCTTAAATGGACCTTTCGTTCGAGGCCGGACAAGATTGCTGGTCGCACGAGCTGAACACCTTTGTCTCCCGTCCATCATCCCAGCGCTTCTTCCAGTCAAAAGGATCCACACGTTCGTCCCAGCTGCAAGCATTCTCCTAGCACCCGGAAGCCACACCAAAACCCCCCACCCATCCTACACACGCAACCATGGCCAAGGATAACAAGCCCAAGGTGGCGCCGTCCACCCACCTCATCGCCGGTGGTATTGCCGGCTTTGCGGAAGCATGCACCTGTCATCGTAAGTACGGCTTTGGCATGTTGAACTCCCGACGATGTTTGTGGCTGACCGAGTGTTTTTCGGGACGATTGCAGCGCTGGACACGATCAAGGTGCGCATGCAGCTGTCGCGCCGGGGCAAGAAGGCTGGCGAGAAGCCGCGCGGATTCATCGCTACGGGTGCGCACATTATCAAGCGCGAGACGCCGCTCGGACTGTACAAGGGTCTGGGAGCGGTGGTGGCGGGCATCGTGCCCAAGATGGCGATCCGTTTTATGAGTTTCGAGCAGTACAAGGCTGCGCTCGCCGACAAGGACACTGGCAAGACGTCGGCACGCGGCGTCTTCCTCGCCGGTCTGGGTGCCGGCACGACGGAGGCGGTGGCAGTGGTCAACCCGATGGAGGTGGTCAAGATCCGACTGCAAGCGCAGCAGCACTCGCTTGCTGACCCCCTGGAAGTGCCCCGCTACCGTAACGCCGCACATGCGCTCTACACGATCATCCGCGAAGAGGGATTCATGACGCTGTACCGCGGTGTGGCGCTGACGGCGGCGCGTCAGGCTACCAACCAGGCGGCCAACTTTACCGCCTACCAGGAGCTCAAGGGTCTGGCACAGCGCGTGCACGGCACGTCCGAACTGCCCTCGTACGAAACCGCGCTGATCGGCCTCATCTCTGGAGCGCTCGGTCCCTTCTCCAACGCACCCATCGACACGATCAAGACGCGAATCCAGCGCGCGTCCAAGGTGGAGGGCGAGACGGCGGTGAGCCGTGTGGTCAAGGTGGCCAAGGACATGTTTGCACAGGAGGGTGCCAGTGCCTTCTGGAAGGGCATCACGCCGCGTGTGGCGCGTGTGGCCCCCGGTCAGGCGGTGGTGTTCACCATCTACGAAAAGGTCAAGAGCTACATTGAGGCTGCCAAGACGGGCGAGTTCAGCCTCAACGACACGCGCTCCGACGAGTAGATCTTGCACCCCCGCACCGTGTAGCGTCCCCAAGCCCGTCCCAATCAGCTTGCCATGCTCATCTCTCGCTAATTTGAACCCCCCAAAAGCATTTCCCAGGAGCTTTTCTTGGCTGTGGCTGCTGGCATCGCGGTCTGCTTTGTATGTGTGTGTGTGT